CCCAGATTACTGGGTGGGACTCAAGCCAGTTCTGTGTTGTGCTGTTAAGAGGATCCCCTAGATATTGAATCTGAACCTTGTTGCTGCCGACGCCCCCTGGCAGAAGGGTTACATAAACAAACATAACATTGTGAAGTGATGACCTGGGGAGAATGCTCAATTTAACTAACAGGTTAGAGTATTTTAGAGACAATAGGAACCATTAACATTAAAAAAAGCGTGGCTGCTATAAAACCAGGAACAAAAATAATGATACATTAAGCCGTGCATCATTAACGAGAAAAACAAAATAAAACAGAACATCCAATCTTCAGTATTTACTGCACATATGCCAGGTTGTTAATTTTACTGACATTTTACTCAGTCGTCCCATCTTACAGCGTCCCAGCAACAGGAACAAAACATCAATAACTGAACACAAATGGCTTCGTTTTCAGAGGCTTTGTCCTCACTATGGTTTGTTTTGGTTTTCTTTAATTCACCAGTTCAGCTCTGTGAGGAACAATACTCATGGCACAGGATCGGAACTGCAACAGTGACACTGGTGATTCGTAATTGGGATAGCCACTTGTCATAAATATAAAGGGAAGGGTAAACCCCTTTGAAATCCCTCCTGGCCAGGGGAAAGCTCCTCTCACCTGTAAAGGGTTGAGAAGCTAAAGGTAACCTCGCTGGCACCTGACCAAAATGACCAATGAGGAGACAAGATACTTTCAAAAGCTGGGAGGAGGGAGAGGAACAAAGAGTCTGTATGCTGCTTCTTGCCAGGGACAGAACAGGAATGGAGTCTTAGAACTTTTAGTAAGTAATCTAGCTAGGTATGTGTTAGATTATGATTTCTTTAAATGGCTGAGAAAAGCATTGTGCTGAATAGAATAACTATTTCTGTCTGTGCATCTTTTTTGTAACTTAAGGTTTTGCCTAGAGGGGTTCTCTATGTTTTTGAATCTAATTACCCTGTAAGATATCTACCATCCTGATTTTACAGGGGGGATTTCTTTATTTCTGTTTACTTCTATTTTTTATTAAAAGTCTTCTTGTAAAAAACTGAATGCTTTTTCATTGTTCTCAGATCCAAGGGTTTGGGTCTGTGGTCACCTATGCAAATTGGTGAGGCTTTTTATCCAACATTTCCCAGGAAAGGGGGGGGTTCAAGTGTTGGGAGGATTGTTCATTGCCCTTAAGATCCAAGGGTCTGGGTCTGTAGTCACCTAGGCAAATTGGTGAGGCTTTTTACCAAACCTTGTCCAGGAAGTGGGGTGCAAGGTTTTGGGAAGTATTTTGGGGGGAAAGACGCGTCCAAACAGCTCTTCCCCAGTAACCAGTATTAGTTTGGTGGTGGTAGCGGCCATTCCAAGGATAACGGGTGTAATATTTTGTACCTTGGGGAAGTTTTGACCTAAGCTGGTAAAGATAAGCTTAGGGGGTTTTTTCATGCAGGTCCCCACATCTGTACCCTAGAGTTCAGAGTGGGGGAGGAACCTTGACACCACTATATAAGCAACATCAAAGCGATATAAGGAGGAATAAAACCAAAGAAGCAAAATGTAGGCTAAAACCTCCCTACTTCTACATACATTCAAGTGTTCACAGTTATTCTGGATAAATCATTGCTAAACAAAGAAAAAACCCACTAGCATTTGAAAGATTATACGTAAATGAAAACAAGGCCCAGAGAATATACCTTGGGGAGCTTCTCTTCAGTGTTAATTTCTAAAATAAGCAACCCCCGGACTAAGAAGGATCTTCTACTACATTATATATATTTAAAGCAAAGTGCCATTGACTTTTGTGGTATTTGGGTTACCATGCTCCACAGTGGATCAGAATTTGAACATCACTGGAAACTACCCGTGTCTCAGTGTCAATAACACAGTTTAACTTGTTCAGTATCTCGAATGCTCTTAACATCTGGATGCTGGTTCTTCACTATAAAAACACATCAGTAAACTGCTTTGTTTTCCAGCACTTTGGCAAGGTTTGACAATTCTCTCCACCACATTTACATCAAATTCATGTTCCTTTTCCTATCCCCTTCAAGGGCCTGAATAAACCTGGCTCCTGTCCACTTCTCTAAACTCAGCTCCTTCTGCTCTTCTTGTTCCCTTCGTTCCATGCAGGCCATCTGGCCAGTGGTTAAAGTAGAATGAAATGAGGGGGAGCTAATCATCACACCAGACAAGGAGGCGATGGTGGTATAAGCTGTGCTGAGGGGAAGGAGAATTGCCCTCTGCTTTTAGCTGCATTTCCCTGACTTTCCCTTATTTTAACCCCAGGCATAACTGGTTTCTTCAATCCAAATTGGTTATTCCTCTTCCTCTCAGCTCTATACTTTTTTTCATATGAGAAATGCTTTCTGGAAATCCCTTCTCTGACCAAGTCTGCCAGCCTCCTCATTATATTTCCAAAAGGCTTAAAGACCCTAGAGCCCTCTCCCCATTGACACTAAACCACTGATATTGCCAGCCATTCCCCTATTTTTAAAAATAAATGAAATATTCAAAATATAAAATCCAAACAATGATCATGGAACTAACACACACATCACTGTTACATCCACATTTCTTGCTGTTCCTTCCAGTTCCCCTCCTGCCCTGGCATTTGAGCATGGCCTATCTAGGACCGAGTGTCTTCCAATTAAAGTCAATGGGACTTTGGTCCCCGATATTAGTGTGAGCAGGATCGGGCTCCTAGATTCTAAGATCTTCAAAGCAAGTATCTGTCCATAAAATTACCAACATATTCTTTATATTAGAGATAAATATCAATGATGGGCCAAATCCTGCTCTGAAGATACACACATGGAAGGTCCTCTCAGCTAACAGATCTCATCTCTTGTGCATAGGGGATCAGGCCCCTCTTCTGTAGGCCACCACTTTCCCTCTCCCTGACTTCCTAAGACCCTGCAGAGGGCATTTTCTGGAGTTAGGACTGTGACTAATTCCACATTATTAGAAACAATGTAGAAATGGAGAGATGTGTCAGTTATCAATTCAATCTGATATCTTGAAGATCACTCTTCTGATACAGCATGTCTGTAGAACACATCTCCCTTTAATGTACTGGGCTCAGTCCCACAGCACATTTATACATATATATGTGCACATCTCCTATTGAAGGACTGCAAGGTCAGGCTGCAGTTTGTAATTGTATATAATTTAATTCAAGATATTTCACACGTACAAAAAAAACAAACAAGTTAAGGGGGAAACATATTGATGGACAGAATTAACACAAAGGCTTACTACGAAAATCCCAGGAGGCTTTGAATTCAGTGTCTTTGAAATCAAAAACAGGCACCTTATCAACTATGCTACAAATGTACTCCAGCAACTTACAATCCAAACAATTGAATACCAGTAGGTTGAACTGACCTCACTGTGGCTGTATGGGGTGTACATCAGGGCAAAATCTGGCCTATTTTGTTTAATATCGATAGAGATTTACAGTTATCATTTTAACCACCAAGTAATTAGTAGATAGATTGTTCTTCGAATGTAACAGAAATATACTGACTTTTTAGAAAAAATGTAGTTCAAATCACATGTGGTGCCTAGATCAACACGCATGGAAAATGCAAGGAGAAACAGACGAAATTATTGTGCAGTAACAAAGGAACTAAAATGTTTTCTGTATGTGATGGAAGGGATTAAGTCCATGCAAATGCACAAGAATTTTTTTTTGAAGTACTGTGAATGCAATTTCATAGATTTGTCCTCAAGTTTAGTCCTGGACAGAAGGCAAATCATATTTTCCCCTACCTTCACTCTAATCACTGCTCTGACAATTTAATATATACAACTCCACATATTGTAAATGGACAACCCTGTGATTTGTGTCAGGGATGTATATTCTGTACTCATGAAGATTAAAACAATTGATAGCTCTGCAAATTGAAGGTCTCAAGCATTGATGCCACTAAATAAAATTTACTGACAGACTTTAAGCTGGATTTACAGAGATGCCAAACTAAAAGCTATTTACCTTTTCCATCTTTGTACTGTGTTCTAAGAAACTTCCACTATGAGTTCAATTCAGCTTTATTTGCCAGACTCTGTCAAAGGAAATAAATTCTCCCACAATTCATCTGTTTGAGTGACATAACAGGCAATCCCACAGGAAGCCAGAGAACCAGAGTGCTTCTCATCACCACAACCCACACACTAATGATTTTCACAGTGGTTGATACCACCACAAACCATTTCTAGAGCCACATGTCATGATTAAATTTAATCCTTTCAAATTATTCTCCACTGTTGCTGCTTGGATTCCAGAGTGACACATATTGCAGGTTAAGGAAGATTTCAGCTTGACCATGGCATTGTTCCATGACCAAGAGGCAAAATACATCTATAACTCTAAAGCACTAAACAGCTGCCCTGGATTGTAGAACTCAATGATCGGCACAATATAAAATTCCACCCTTACATCAATCTCTCATTTATCTTCTGGCTACATGCTTGGATACATTGTTTTTAGCACAGCTTGTCTGATTCATAAGCTGACAGGGTAAGTAGGAAAGGACAAACTGTGCTGTTAAGTAATTTAACCTCATCGGTGACATTACTGTATCCAAAGGGATAGTTATTACTCTGTGAGCATGGTTACAGTACATCAATTACAGTGGATCCTCTGAGCAGCCATGAGATAAGATGTAGGTTTATCCTTTCACATAAAAAATATGTTTACTTTAATTTATTTCAACAACAGATTGGACTGAATTCATTTTTCTTGTGTTGATCTCTTAGTGTCTATGATCAATGACTAAAAGCAAGTTTAATAATAAAATAAAATAATAATAAACAACAACAATAAATGTTTCTGAAATTTCATTTTGAAAAACACTGTGGCTAAAATTCCATTTTCAATTACACCCATGTAAAATCAATGGCTTTACTCTGGATTTGCACTATGGTAATTGAGAGTAAAATTTGCAGTTTAGTCAGTACCAGTCAGCAAAGTAATAAAAGTTAGAGGAGAGAGAATTGAAATCAACTTACCTACTGTATCAGATCCTCATGCGCTACAACTCCTTCTCAGTCTGAAGAAAATCTGACCTGTAGAAGACGAAGTAATAAGTTCTCTTATAACAAGATGTTGACCTATATATACTTCATAAAACTTTAGACCAGATTAACAAATACCAAGCTTTACCGAGGAAAAGCCTTACACTGGGAACTTAGCGTCCTGAAACCTTTTGCTGATGTCTACCATAGATATATGCATTAACGTTCTTTATATATTAAAACACACACAAATAGAGCATCACCAACCAGTGGCCCATCTTGTATCTTTACTTAGAGAATTGCCACTGAGATCAATGGGGTTTTTTTGCCAGAATTAAGATCACAGGATTGGATCTTCAGAGGTATATTGACGGGGAGACTGTCAAAAGCACCCAAAGCCCATTGACTTTCAATGGGATGTACGCGCCTAAATTCTTGGTGCACTAGGTACTCTTTGAAAACCTCCCTCCAAGAGTTTAAGGTAAAAATGTTGTAAATGGTCCTGTATCATATCTGGCTGCCCATACACCCGCATACACTAATGACTCGAGCCATGCAGCTGACTGCAATTCCATGGCCAAAACTAATATGGCAGATTTCAAGGCTGTCCACCAAAAAAGCAGGGTGGATTGTAACATGAATAATAACGTGCAATAATGCTGAGCTGTGGCTTCTCCCCTCTTTCTGCCCTTGCCTTGCTCATTTTTAAAAGGTCTGTAATAACTTCTCCCAAATGAACAAAACAGGAAGGTGTAAGAAAGCAAGTGGGAGAGCAGATGAGAGGTAGAAGGGAAGGAGAGAGAGGGAAGAGGAAAGGGAAATCAAGAGGGAGAGATAGTGAGGTGGCCAGGAATGATTTTTATTTTACACTAATTCTACCTTTGCCAACCCACCTCCCAGAAAACTACTCAGATAAGTACTTTTACTTTCTTATATTGACTCATTTTAATTGGGAGTTGGTAAGGGGGTGTAACCAGTTTTACGTCAATGCAGTTTTGCTGAAATCACTGGAAGCAGCACAAATGTAAAGCTGGGAGTGAGCAGTATTTGGTCTGACACTTTTCAGTGCACAGTGTGGCAGGGAGCTGCGAAGCCTCCATGAGTTGACAAGGCTACGAGGTACAGTATGTGAACATGGAAGTGGCCAAATTCTTACCCGAGGGCTAGTAATTTCTCAGACAGGCATATTTTACCAGATATTCATCAAGGATGGGATATACCGATCCAACTAGGGAACAGATACATTTTTGGCCGATATTAAAGAAGGCATCAGTAAATATCTGGAAACCTGTCTAGGATCAGGGGAGGTAGCCAAGTTAATTTCTGGTGCCTCCTTGCAGTAGATGTCCAGTGCAGGTATTCATTATGGACTGGATATGGTGATTGGATACAATTGATGAGTTCAGTGCTCCTACATTTACAATGGAATGTCAATCGCCCCTCCTTTCTAGCACCCTCATATGAGGGATGTGGTGGGGTCCCAGCAGCATGGTGGCTAGGACCAGATTGGAAATGGGGAGGGCTGATGGCAGCCCCCCCGAGTATATTGAAGGGATTATGGAAATGGTGATGACCTGCACTGCCCAATTTATTTGCCAGGTACTCCTAGATATTTAAGAGATTAAAGTTGCAGCCTCATTAAAATCCCACATGGTGGCTGAGTGGTTAAGGCCCTTATCTACAGTTCTGAAGGTCACGGGTTCAAGTATTTGCTCCCTCTGAAAGGCCACCTCCAGTTCACTTAGCTCCAAATAGGTACCTGATCCATCAGATTAGGGCACTCAGACAGTCAGATGTGATGCTGGCCACATCACTCCCTTGTGTACCATTGGCTATGAAGCAGACCAGTCTTAACCACGTGCCATTGACTCCTGGGAACTTTGACATTACCTCCTGGCGTTCTTCCAGCATAGCTGACAGTGGGCTTAAATTATATTTCAACCTTCCGTTGGCATTACAGTAATGAAATGTAAATATTTACCCTGTGGATTTAGGAACATACAATATATATAATCCAATGATACACCTACAGAGAGAGATCACATGTACTGTACTCACTGTCTCTGTAACTACTTTGGATCCACATCAGTTGCCCTGAACTGTTTAACCAATTCTACTTCAGTGAGATTAGAGATCACATTCAGGATAAACTAAGAAAAGGTAGGAGAATTACAAAAATTTATAAGGGCTCTAAATGTGGCTTGACGTACGTAGCAAGTTATTCTTTTTCGACTTATCCCACATTAACCCGTCTTCTCCTTCCCTCACAGAGGAGTAGCAGCCTCTTACTGGTACAGGTGTAATCTCCCCACTTGAAGGCCTAATACTGCTCCCACTGCAATCAATTGCAAAACCTGAATGGAGTCCAGAGCAGAGCCTCTACCTACAGAGATTACAGAATTAAAGCAGAGTACACAATTCTCTTACTATCTTCTCACTGTCCATCATTTCAGTGCTCATATATAAAAATGTTAAATTGTGTCAACACATGCACTATGAAAAAAGCGGTTTTTTAAACAAAGCGTCGGGGGAACAAAGGCATAAAGATTAACACTATTATTAAAGAAGCTCCGGTCTGTAATGTGTCAGTGAATCAGCTCCAGGGCAATGTGGTCAGAGACTGCTTGTGTGGCATTAAAAGGGATAAATATGGATTTTTCAGCAGACATTGTTGTGTGGGTGTAGGAGTTCCAATTGGGCCAGTTAAAAATTCAAATTTCTGACATTATCTAAGAACAGGTCTACATGTCTGTCACCACAATAATGAACAGAGTCTCGTACTTGCTGTTTACTTTTCTGCAGCTCTACCTCAGTAGTCTGCTATAAGAAGGAACTTTCCCAGGGAATCTTTCGGTTATTGAGATAGATGAGCTTCTAGTCAACTGAACAAAGCTCTGCTGAGCAACTTCAAACGTATCCATTGCTTTTAAGAGAACAATCCAAAAATGATGTTTTCTTGTCTGTGAACTATACATCACTGATCAATTATTTGGGGTGAAAATTTAAGCCATCTGGTTGATTCTCAGTTTTTCTTTGCAGAATTCAAAGGGCCCTATTTTGTTCTCCTTCCACATTCAAAATTCTCATTAACTTCAGTTGGGGGACAGAAGGTGACAAAAATGCAGAACTAGGCTCTACTGTAATAAACATCATATTTGGGACTTTCATAACTGTTTTCATCGGAGGATCTTAAAAATCATTATAAAAAGGTGAGTAATAGTTTTATTCACACTATTGTGTCTCTGATATTTCTATTTCTTCTTTAACAGATGCTCACCAAGACCCAAAGAGAAAATTTTTCTTTTGATTCCATAGTCTCTTTAGGAATATTGTTTCTAATACCTCTTCCACTTTGTAGTGTCATCTTTATTGTATGTGGTGGTGTTGCAGTTGTGTTGGTCCCAGGATATTTGAGACACAAGGTGGGTGAGACTGGATCAGCTTCCATTGGTGAGAGACACAAGCTTACATAGCTTCTTCGCGTCAGAACTCTGTAAGCTCGAAAGCCTGTCTCTCTCACCAACAGACGCTAGTCCAATAAAAGATATAACCTCACTCACTGTGTGTGTCTAATTGTTTTTCTTTTTAGACCACTGCAAGGTTTGAATCAACATTCCCCTTACTTCAGTACTAGGAAAAATGTTATCAACATTAAGTAGGCTCCAACATTTAAACACCTACTAGAACTAAGCAAACCTTAGCATTAAGATTCAAATGAAACCATGCTGCAAGGTATCAGGAAGAGTGAGTGACTGTGTAAGAAAAGAGGAATTCTAGGATAATTCTTACTCTTTAGTCACATCCCACAGAAAATGTGATCAGGCTTGGAGGTGCACAAGTTACTGCAGTGTACGATAATGGTGAGTAAATGCTGATTTTTAAACAGTGACTGCTGTAAAGAATCTTAAAACCAGAGAAGATGAGCTCATGGTAAGATTATTTTGTTGCACATCATACAAAGTGATTTACTTAACGCCTGCAGTCAAGTGGATGAGAAGTTACACTTGCTCTGATTCCTAACCATGAAATGACAAAAGCATTAGATAGAGCAGAAGCTAGTGCTCATTTATCCACCAGGAGGTAGACACAGAATGGGTAGCAACAATGTAAGCTCCCCCACACTGCTCCCAGCTAAGGTGCCTCATTCATATTCAGAATCAAAAGAAATTTCATTCCTTATGATCCATTTTATCTTTGACAACTCATTAGCATTGTCTGTACCATGGCCACTGGAGTTCTGTAACGTGGACATTTGTCCTCAAAGCTGTATTTACAGACTACAAGGCAAAAAGCTACTAGTCAGCAACGATATTTAGCCACTACTGACATGAGCCTGAAATCTAGTAATTTGGGGGTTTGATTCTCCACTGTCTTTTTTCATGTGTAGCCTGTTACCCTCGTGCAAAGTGACTATAACAGGAGTGCAAAAACATCACCTTGCTGATTTGGTAGACTTTTACACTCACTTTGTAAAGAAGTAGGTGCAACATGCTGAAGACTCGGTCCTTATAATAGTAAGGAAAATATTCTATATTTTTTTAAATCTAAAGCAAAAGCAGTCTCACTAAAAAATTGAATCAAATGGTATTTTTGTTAACCTGAATTTCTCATCTTGCTAATATAATTCTTGTCCAACGTGGTTTTCCCTCCAAACAGTGAAAAGATGGCAATGTTCCAGAAGGTAAGTATTATAGCTGGACTTCACTAATTCCCATAAATGACCGAGAGAACCATTGCAAATTAAACACATTTTGGGGAAAACAGCAAATAGATTTATGTTTAGGTTTTAAAAAGCTCAACGTGGAAAATTTGAATCTGGATCTCAAACATCCCAAACTAAAACACTGTTTCTAAAATGAACAAACTCTTATGATGCTTAAGGTACACTTAGTCAAGTGTACTTTACTTGCGATGTGACTTGTAATTAGTTTTAACTATCACAACTCAACTAAATATTCTGAAGTCAGATTTGTGGAGTAGCAGGGTGTGAAGTAGCAAGGCCTGGTTGTACTTCTGAATAAAAACACTGTTTTGTTGTCAGATTGGCACTC